GGTGTGTCTGGCTAATGCGCTGCTAACGAGTCTGAGCGATCGATTGGTAATTGCTGACTGGACTGTGAGGAAATGTGGCGTGTGCTTCTCATGTTTGAGCGTCATGCGATCTCAGGCCTCATGCGTTAATACGTACCTCATGCGAATAAACAGGTTCAAATTGGACGCAGCATCGAGCTAAACCTAGTCTGGAACTAAAATAGTTTGTAACCTTGAACTTTAAGAGGCATCTCAACACCTCTCTCCCTCATTTAAATGTGCAACGAGGACGTCGCTCACGTGAAAGAGGATGATGTTTAGCTTGTAACTCAAGCTGCTCATATTACTTTTCACAACATTCAGTTGGTATAAAGTGAACTATTATTAATCCTAGTGAGCTGCGCAATAACATTTGTGTGACCTTGTTTTGGCCACAAGTTGAATAAGCATTGCTTAAAACAAACCTTTGTTGAAAATGATGACAAAAATGATTGATTGTAAATGTACTTGCATATCAGTTCAGTACTAAAAAGCATTGATTTAAAACAGCTGAACTGAATTCAGATGTATTTTTCATGTTTAGAGTATTGTGCTAACAGCTTTGCTAAATTGGAATCAGTTATGAGACGAATCTCAATTGCATTTCATTTAAGATTTATGCCATTATGTGAGTTACTGCTTATGTATAGTGATCTGGATAAGTAACTAAGATTTAGGATGCTGCTTTAGAAAGAAGTTGCCTGTGGAAGCTAAAGATAAAAAGGTAATTGCGACTTATCTCACATTTCTGACTTTTTTTTTTTCTCTCTAAATTGCCAGACACACACTTACGTGCAGATTTGCGAGATATAAACTTTGTAGTTCATAGATGTGAACTCGTAAAGTCGTAATCACCAGAGAATTTTTTTTTATGGCAGAAACAACAACAACAACAACAACCGAAAAAACAGAATTGTGAGATGTCAACTCATAATTCTGAGGAATAAACTTTGGAAACTGAGGTAAAAAAAAAAAAAGGCATTGCGTGTTATAAATGCAGAATTGTGAGATATAAAGTCAGAATCGTGAGCTAGGAAGTTAGAATCGCAAGATATAAACCTGAAGTTCTTAGAAGAAAAGTCTCAATTGTGAGAGATAAAGTCATAATTACCATTTTATTTACCGGCGGAAAAAAAAAAAAAAACTGAATTGCGAGATGTCAACTCTGAGGAAAAAACTGTGGGGGAAAAAAAATTATTTGTGTTATAAATGCAGAATTGTGAGATATAAAGTCGGAATCTTCAGATAGGAAGATGGAACCTCGAGATATAAACTTGAAATTCTTAGAAGAAAAGTCAAAATTGTGAGAGAAAACTGAGAAATTACCTTTTTTTTTCATGGCAGAAACATAAAAAACAATTGCAAGATGCATAGGCGGAGGGTGAACCAACTCCAGGGTAAAGCTAAAAGCAGCCAAATCTATTAACTACAAACATCATAAACCCGTCTTTTTAGGCAAGAACCAGACATGGGTGTCATGTAGGCTAATAAAATATGTTTAATGGGACTGAATTTGTATTTATTTGTGATTTTACAATTTAATTAAAACATTAGAAACTGATAATTATATAACGTTTCCTTTCCACGGTTATTCAAACGGTGAATAAATTATGTACAGATGCTGCTGGCATCTATCGCAACAAAACTATCGTTATAATCACTGAAGCTGTCTACACTGCGAAACTAATCCCTTACTTACATTGTACGTACATCTGTGCTTTGTTGTTTATGATGAGAGAATTCGTGGAATTCAGTCAGCGAACGCGCGCGCACTCAACAAAGCTGATGAGTTTCAGCGATGACCCATCTGAAGGCCTCTGATTGGCCATTGCATTCCTAAGCTCAACAGAATCGTGTGTGATTGGTTATAATGCGCTACACTGTAAAAATGCCTAAAATGAAATACAGTGCAACATGAGCAAATCTTAATTTAATGCGCAGTCGACACTTTCTATTCATTTACACTTACACACCCTTACAGCCTTACACACGCTCCGCCTATGGCAAGATGTGAACTTACAATTCTGAGAAAAATACTCCGAATTGTGAAAAGGAAAGTCAGACTCAGAATATCTCGCAGTAGTTTATCTTGCAATTCTGAGTTTAAGGAAAAAGTCTGAATTCTGAAAAGTCTGAATTGTTAGATATAAATGCACAATTGCAAGAAAATATATCCTAATAGTGAGAGAAAAGTTGCAATTAGCTTTATTTATTTATTTTTATTCAGCGGTGGAAACAGCGAACTTGAAACTGCAGACAGCGAACATCAGGGTCGATCTCTGAGCTGATTTCAAGCACTGTCGTTCATTCAGGCTTCTGTGGCGTTTGATCAAACACACTTTGAGCATCAGCAGACATGATGGAGAGAGATGATTCATGACTGAGGAGAGGCAGACGAGGTGTGTGCGTGTGTGCGTGTGTGTGTGTGATGAATGTTTCTGTGTCCTCTCTGATCTCTTGAGATCTTTAATGACTGATGCTTTCACATTATGCATGTGTAAGATGTCCAAGAAACAAATCAATGCACTGACATCAGATTAACTTTTTCCTCTCATTTGAGAGAAGAACTATGCGTTGCTTCACTTCACTTTTGACCATTTTTACCTTGACTTGCTTTCTTAAACCTAAGTGTACTGGTGTCAAATAAGTATGTAGCTTAATACTTGATGACGTCACATCACACTGATTCCCTCGACAAAGACCAATAGGATTTTTCCATTGTTTTTGGATTATTGCAGAAAATAAGCTCTGCAATGATTGTTACACATTTTGTTCATAATGATAATCTTCAGGAATGAACACAACATGTATTAAAGGTCATATAGGCTATATCTCAAAGGTGAACTTTTTAGAAATTTGATAACAATAAAACCTTTTAAAATATATAATATGTTTATATTAAAAAATATATATATTTTCAATAGTTTATCTATTGAATTAATGTCATAATATTGTAGAATAATGTTCACATTTATAATATTTATAAAAGGCACAAATATCCCTTATAAAATATTAATGTAATCAGATTAAAATTAAAATTCATATTTTCAATATTTGATCTATATTGAATTAATGTCATAATTATAAAAAAAAAGTAAAAAAAAAAACAATATTTTAAAATTTGTAATATTTTATCTATATTAAATTAATATTATAATATTTAATAATAATAACTTAGTATTTATAATCAACATTTCTCTTGCTTTGTTTGATGGATGGATTTCTTTAACATTAAGCTTATTGCAATGTATTCTAAGATTTATTTTTTATTTTATTTTTATTTGTTTTTATCCATAAAGGATAAATGTGTTCTATTCTATTCGTTTATTCTAATCTATTCTGTTCAATTCTATTTTATTCTATTCTATTCTATTCATTTTTGGAATTTGTTCAGAATAATCTCTCTACCTTTCAAAATAAATTTATATAATGTTTTAAAAATATATATATTTTTATTTTAATATTTTTTTCATTCTTTATTTTAATATTGTATCTATATTAAATTAATATAAAAACATTGCGTAATAATTAACCAAATATTTGTAGTCTTTCATCTTGCGTAGTTTGCCTGTATGTAATATCTGCAATGCATTCTGCAATTTACATTTTTTTCCATGAAGAATATATGCAGTGCTGCTTTTGAATTTGGTTTACTAAATTTACTCAGGTAATCTAAGATAAATATCTCTTTCTTTACTTCTATAATTATGCCTGCTCGCTGCTTACGATACCTTTAATCGCTGTCTATGTAAGCAGCTCAGTAGATTTTGGAGGCGAGCCTGTGTGTCCCGTCGACTCGCTGGCTGAGGATCCAGTCAGGATTAGATAACCAATCAGCTGCCAGATCAGACCGTCGCCCCTGTGACCTAGGGGTCAACACATGGGAATCCTAGTCAGCTGCTCCAAATGTAATATTTAAATAGCCCACACTTCATTACTATGCTGAATAGAGCTGTAATCTGATAGCATTTGTGTCCTATCAGCGTCTCACATGATAAACAAGCCTCCAGTAGCTCAAGACGGCCTGCTGGAACAATAACCAATCCCTGTGCTGATAATGCTGCTTTAGGAGGGAAACCTCTGCGGCACTTATCAATGCACGGCCTGATTGATTGTTGTCCAGTTTTACTCGTGTTTGTTTTTGTTGTGGTGTTCAGGACATGCTCATTTCCCGTCCTCTTTTGCCTGGTTTCAGAATTTGTAAATAGCAGCATGTATAATCAGGAGACTCGGCCGCACGAAGACAATGTCAGCTCTGTTACTCCGGTTTGAACCATGAGCGAAGTCCATTGTGTTGGGTTTTAAAGAGCTCTCAAGACCGCACGCGGATTCATTTCACATCTCGGTCATGTTAAGAAGTTTATGAAGTGCCACCGCAGAGCTGATTGTTTGCGCACGCTTTAGTGCTTCAGGGTTTTAATGTGAATTTCCATCCCGTCCTGAAACGTGCCATATTTACAGCCGCTAATCTCTGAAAGCTCCCCGTATAATCCCGCCAAATATGTTAATTCTGCTGATTGTTTGGAGTCGAACTCGAGAACCTCAGATTATGCACTTAAATTTAAAAATAAGGAATGTTCTAGAGAAGTGCTTCGAGACAACGTGAAACTGCATTAGAAATGCATTTAATGGCAGTAATTTCACATTTTTGAGTACACTCACACTCACACTCACACACATCACATCAGCGGGAGTTGACCTCATGGTAGAGTCATATCCTCCCCAACTGTCCGAACCAAATCCCCCGACACGGCCCGTCCCAGAGCTCCTGCAAGCGGCCTTCATCAAACGGCGCATTTCGGGATGTTTTGCGCTCCTTGAGTCCGATCCACGGCAGATTTCCTCCACAGAAGGACGTCCACGGGAAGCGGTGTGCTGCTGTTGGCTTTATTCTTCCTAGATTTTTTTTGTTTTGCATTATTTTGTGTGTGATTTTGCGTGGAGCCACACGTGACCTCTGCTCCAAGTGCATGCCGACGACGATGGCCCCACAGAACACCGAGGCCGACGCCGTGCAGATGCAGGCCGCCGTGGAGAAACGGGCCGGAGGAGGCGGGGCTAATGGAGTGGGCGGGGCTGGAGGGCGGGATTTGGAGAGTCATGAGGAGTCGGTCAGCGAGGGATCTATAGACCGCATCCCGCTGCGTCAGTGGATCATGCACGGCGCCGTCATGTTCGGACGAGAGTTCTGCTACGCCATGGAGACGGCGCTGGTCACACCTGTACTGCTGCAGATAGGTGAGACAACTGACCATTAACTATTAGATAATAATAAACCAAATCATAAAATATGACACGATCGGATGCACCCAGCATAAAGAGAGCTCTGTTCTGATATGGATTATTCTTTAACCAATGCTGATAATAGGAGGATTAAACGCCAATTTATACTTATTAAACGTATATAATTTTTATAATAATTACAAATATATGTAAATATTAATAATTAAATATATATAATTTATTATTCATTGTTTAAATACATTTGTAATTAATTAATTATCTAAATTTATAGTAACATTCATATATGCATTTAATATATTATTATAATATAACTTAATGAATGCAATTTTTATTTACTCAAAACCAACTGGAAAAATGACAGCTTTGATTAAGGTGTCAGTACATTTTGAAACTGAATCTAATGTTTATACTGTTGACTAGTTCTGCTAGAAAGATGAAGACACTTTAATGAGCGTTGGAACAATTTGAGCCACAGACAAACCCAGCTAGTTGACTAGATTAACTGTACTAGACATCCCACGATGAACTGAATAATCTGCACAGACATGTAAATCTAATATTTGTGATTTCTGGCCAGTTTATATTGTCTTCACTCTCAATGTTTTTGACAACCAGCCTCTCCAGCTGCATGCCTGTATGCCAAAGAAACACCTCCACATCTCTGAACTGTGTGCGTGTGTGCGTGTGTGCGTGCGTGCGTGTGCGCGACGTGAAAGAGATTTAAGGGGCTGTGGGACATACGCTGCATGACTCGCCTGCCAGTTTATAGATAATGCAAACGACACCCCAGGCCTTTATATTACTGAAAAATATGCCGCTTTGTCATGCAAGCAGCTGTGAGCCTGGAGGAGCAGAGGGGCTTTTGTTCTTCATAATCATCATGTTTTATTGAAGAAGTCCATTTTTGTCAACAGGAAGTCCATCAGCCACATGTGGTCATGTGACAATAGTGATTGTTGTAATATGGATTACTTCTTTTAAATCTATTATTGCTGAACTTTCTTTGTGTCTTTTCTTTACACTAACAGTCAAAAGTTTGGTATGATTTTTTATAGTTTTTGAATGAAGTCTCTTCTGCTCACCAAGGCTGCATTTAATTGATCAAAAATACAATAAAATCAGGAAAATTGTGAAATATTATTACAACTTAAAATAAAATATTTCTGTTAGAATATATGCTAAAATGTAATTGATTGCTGTGATCAAAGCTGAATTTTCAGCATCATTACTCCAGTCTTCAGTGTCACATGATCTTCAGAAATCATTCTAATATGCTGATTTGCTTCTCAAGAAACATTTCTGATTATTATCAGTGTTGAAAATGCATGGAAAATGGCAAATGCATAAATGCAAATGTAAATATCGACAATTCTCACTACTCTTCTTTTTGTTCTTTCACTCGTTTACGCTGCAGGACCTGTTTGCTATTAGCTACGCTTCTCACCAGACCTAGCTAATGTACCAGGACACTAACTGAAGACATTGTTTTTGAGCAGTATTTTTCTCTCCCTGAGGGATGATCCATTATTTATTGTGTTGTAACTGTGTCATTTCAATGAACTGGTTCATCAAAAGTAGATGAGCTGATTCCGTCATTGCTCAATTGTGTGCACAATAACCGGTGCATGTCATTTTACTTTAGTACATTTTGTAACAAACAATAAGGCCCCATTAGTTAACATTAGTTAATGCATTAAAGAATAAGTCCACTTCCAGAATAAAAATTTCCTGATAAATGCTCACCCCCATGTCATCCAAGATGTTCATGTCTGTCTTTCTTCGGTCGCAAAGAAATTAATTAGTAGACTTCAGTGATGGCCAATGATTTAATTGTCAAAAATGCAGTTTCAGTGCAGCTTCAAAAGGCTCTACATGATCCCAGCCGCGGAATAAGGGTCTTATCTAGCAAAACGATCGGTCATTTTCTTAAAAACTATATATTTATACACTTTTTAACCACAAATGTTTGGCTAGCATTAGCTCTGCAATGCGCATCTTTATTAGGTGATATTGGAAAGGTCATCGTGACGTAGCTGGAAGTACCGACCCAGTGTTTACAAAGTGAACATGCAAAAAAAGTCAAATGCCCTTTAGAAAAAAGGTAAAACAACGATGTCAGATGATTTTAAACTTGTAAGAGAAAATGTGATGGAGTTTTTAAACAAAGTACAAAGATGAAGAAGTAACCGCGCATGACCTTTCCAACAGGATTACGTAATGTGTGAAGATGTGCATGCGCATCGCAGAGCCAGAGCAAGCCGAGCATTTGTGGTTAAAAAGTGTATGCATTTTATTTATTTTTTTTTCAAAAAATGACCGATCGTTTCACTAGATAAGACCCTTATTTCTCGGCTGGGATCGTGTAGAGCCCTTTGAAGCTGCATTGAAACTGCATTTTTGACCTTGAAATCGTTGGCCACCATTGAAGTCCACTATATGGAAAAAAAAATCCTGGAATGCTTTCCTCAAAAAACGTAATTTCTTTGTGACGGAAGAAAGGAAGACATGAACATCTTGGATGACATGGGGGTGAGTAAATTATCAGAAAATGTTTATCCTGGAAGTGGACTTATACTTTAACAATCAGCAATACTTGTGTTGCAGTCAGCTGATTAAAAAATAGTTCATTGTTAATTCATGTTAGCTCAGGTCTATTAAATAATATTAACAGATACAACATTTGATGTAGATGAGTTTGTTTCTTCATCAGATTTGGAGAAATGTAGCACTGCATCACTTATTCAGCAATGGATGCTCTGCAGTGAATGGGTGCCGTCAGAATGAGAGTCCAAACAGCTGATAAAAACATCACAATAATCCACAAGTAATCCACACCATTGAAACTGCATTTTTGACCTTGAAATCGTTGGCCACCATTGAAGTCCACTATATGGAAAAAAAAATCCTGGAATGCTTTCCTCAAAAAACGTAATTTCTTTGTGACGGAAGAAAGGAAGACATGAACATCTTGGATGACATGGGGGTGAGTAAATTATCAGAAAATGTTTATCCTGGAAGTGGACTTATACTTTAACAATCAGCAATACTTGTGTTGCAGTCAGCTGATTAAAAAATAGTTCATTGTTAATTCATGTTAGCTCAGGTCTATTAAATAATATTAACAGATACAACATTTGATGTAGATGAGTTTGTTTCTTCATCAGATTTGGAGAAATGTAGCACTGCATCACTTATTCAGCAATGGATGCTCTGCAGTGAATGGGTGCCGTCAGAATGAGAGTCCAAACAGCTGATAAAAACATCACAATAATCCACAAGTAATCCACACCACTCCAGTTCATCAGTTAATGAGAAGTGAAAAGCTGCATGTTTCTAAGAAACAAAATCAACATTAAGATGTTTTAATTTCAAACTGTCAATTCTGGGCAAAATATGAGTCCATAATCCATAATCTCTCACATCAAAACAGTGCTTGATCTGTGCATATTTCTCTCCTGATGCAGACGAGATGACTTTCTTCACTGGACAAAGCAATATTATGCATATTTTAGCTGGAAGTGGTGTGGATTACTTTTGCATTACTTGTCTGCTCAAAAGTAGAATGCTAAGTTTGAAATTAAGCACTTTTCCAAAAGGGTAACTTGATTGTTGTTTACTTGATTGTCGGTAACTTAGCTCTTGTTGGTGATTATAGAAGCTAATGGCAAGTTCTCCGGGTTTAAAGGATTAAGTCATCAGGTCAAGGCCAGTTGTGAGTGACTTGATGTTATCATGCAACATGCTAATTTTAGAGCCCTATGTGAGCTTGCGTCTGTGAAGATCAGGCACTCGCTGTCCAAACTATAATGGCAAAGGATAAGAGGATTTCTGGAGGTTGAGCCGCCCTTGTTCACCTGCGGTCAGAGAGGTGTGTGTGTGTGTGAGTGTGTGTTTCAGGGTGACGTATGATGGGTTATTTTTACAATTCACTGAATTGGTAATGGCTGGATTAGCCACAATAGCTCACGGTTAGTTTAGATGCATGAAGTGGGAAATTATACTGTCAGACTGGAATGTGGTGCTCAACATGACGACATTTAAGACTAGTTCAGATCCAGATGAACCAAGACAAGGAGTTGACGCATGTGTGCGTGTGTTTACAATGGTCCACAGTGGTCCCATATGAAATTCCATGCAGCAATTCCAACTATTCGCAGCACGGTTCACCGTAAACAGACGCACGTAACAAAGGCCAAGGGAATGCGCGGCCTGCCGCTGTGTTGGGAATGTATGACTCAGCGGATTCCGAGGTTTGGGATGAAGCGCAAGTGTTAACGTGTCCCAGAATGCTCAGCTGGTTGGGGGTCAAACCCAGAGCCATGTTGTGTTTTTCTTAGCTAGCGAGAGGCTGGAACGTGTGGAATCGTGAAAGAATTTTGCTTTCAGCCTGTGGATTTCATGCGTTCCGCAGTGATGGGAAAAAAACTCCCAGTGAACAAACAAACCTCATTCCCAAGCATGCAAACGTCCTACACAAACCACAGAAATTTGTTGATATGCTTTGCCAAATTACCTAGCAGCTGTAGATCTCGCTTGACATTTGGTAAGTTATGGCTGTGTATGGAGTAGTGTACTTCTGTGCTGTTTGGTTTGCTAGCAATCCATCTGAGCATGGTTGTGGTCCAGCAGATGCAGCTCACGACCTGGTGTCACTCTGGCTTGCTGCAATGTCTCATGGGTACGTCACATCTCACACACAGGGCACAAGAATTCCGCGCACACCTGCACTGTCAGCCCTGCGATCTGTCAATTACAGATGTGTCTCAGCTGATCTATGGACTCGTTGTAATGTTTCTAATGCGTACATGAGCGCTATGCAGTGAGTTTGTGGCGTGTGATTTCACAGGTTTCTATTGATTTATAAATAGCCAAACAATGAGCCCTTTTGGGCTGTTTTTGGTCAATCTCTGGCGGATTAGACTCGAGTTCTCATGACCACTCAGACTTTCAGCGCTTTTGCGGAAACAGTAGTGAAACTCATTTAACGTTTTGTT